TTATATACCGTATACAATATGCTCGTGTACATATATAAATATATATATATATGCTACGATTGCTGTTACGCGCAGCCGTTATATTATATTCTCCGCTTATATACGATATAATATTGTATTCTAATGGGTCCGTAGGTATAATATTACGAAAAGAATACTATTTTAACACAATATAATCTATATATTAAATATTTGTGTTTATTATATCTACTCGTATTACTTGGTAAACTTTTTATACTTACTTTTTTTTTTTTTACTAAATATCCACTCCCTTCCATTGATCTTCCTTAAAAAAAAAAAAAAAATCCACGAGCAGATACATCACACATTTCCCTTAAGTTTTGGTCTTTCCCCAGTCACTCCTCTCCTCACGATCCAGAGAGATTATTTATATTTCCTACATAAAAATAATATACTATTTTGTTGAAAATTCTGTCAGTTCAATTTTTTATTATTTATTTTCTATAGCGGGCACGAAATCTACGGTGTCTCCATTTGGACAAGGGTAATTTCATTCAAAAAATGTCCGCACTTTAAGTGTCCCACACTATTCAGTTTTTTGCAAAAATGACCCAAAAGAGAATACATTTTCAGTTTTGATGCAATGCAAATATTTCATTTTTTGACTAGACAAATACTTTTTAAGACAAAGAAAATGCTTTTTTTTTGTATGAATTTTTAATATAGTTTTTCACTTGGAAAACCAAAGTTGGTACCGCCATAGAATACTTCTTAAATGTTGAGAAAAATTTAAGTGTTCGAAAGTGTCGGCACTTTTAACTATATTTAAAAATTCCAAAAATCAAAATTTGAATGTATGCAAAATTTAACCAGAAAAATGAGGCGAGAACGCTTAGGGAATCATCCTGTATAATAGAGGTAGTGTTCAATACAGTGAAACCTCGATTATCAGGAATAATGGCGGGGAAGGGGTTACACGGATAAAAGAAAAAACAGTTAATCGAGACTTTTTATAATAATGAATAATATTTAAATATATAATTAATTAAACAATCTACAATATTGTTTAATAATTACATACCTCTGATAAAATAAATAGATAAACAATTAGATATACATGGCCATATGGTTATTGTTAAAAATATCATTAACATGTTCGACGATATCGTATAATGTGTAATATAGTGATATAAAATATTCGATTGAAACTATTTATAATGTGTATAGTCCATAATTAATTTACATTTTCGGAAGAGTAAGTACGATTAATCACGAACACGGATAATCGAGACACGGTTAATCGAGGTTCCGCTGTATTTAATTTCAAATTAATATTATTGCGTGTTAGGTACGCAATCCGGTAGATTTGTCATTTTGAGTACTTAATCAATTTATTTTTTCATATACGAATACCGAAATTTGAAAAATAGCAAAAGAAAATTAAGCACACTATATAAATGAGTACTTTATTGACTACTGATAATATATACTCCACCTTCCCATATAGATTTATAATTTTTGTATTAAATAATATTAATAAACTGTATCTATATTGAGGTTTTTATTTAATATTTGATATACGAATTTTAGACCGCGGAAACGATTAGAAAATATGTTATACAAACACTTTTCAATTGTTTTTAATTTCCGTTAAGTAACTTTTCCTTCGCGTTGAGAGTGAAATCGAATATCGCATTTCCCCCTTAATATATTACTGCGGACATTTTTCGTAATATCCGGTGTTAGGGGCAGTATACTATATACACGTTAATAAATAATATAATTGAACATATTTTCAATTTTATCGTTAAACGATATTAATTTTAAACGTTACCATTATTTCGTTTTTATATTAAATGATTATGAAGGTTGTAACCAGATTTCTCCAATAAGACATATTTCATTATGAAGTATAATGGAAATAATAATATACGTTTTTTTTTTTTTTTTAATATTGTTTAAAGTATAAATAAAGGTACCTATATATACATACATATATACATGATCAAAATTATAAAGAATATGGATACTTATATAGAAATATGGGCGTGGATCACTGGGAACTGAAGATTGTCCAACCTCGTATTAAAATATTGAGTTTTTATTTTATTATTATATACGTATATCATATTTTTTGTTTTATTCATTTAATATCTAATCACAGTTAGGTATTGTTTAAAACACGGTATATATGGGTTTATTAATCAGTCGAGATAAGAATTTTGGACTTTTTAAAACTATGAATTCTAAAGATTTCGAAAACCCGGAGGTAAACACATAACCCACATAAATTATTACAGTACCTACTACCTACCCATGGTGGCGTAGCTACATATTAAAGTACCCCGAAGCGAAATATTTCGTTCGCTCCATAATATTATAATGTCACTAAAACAGTGCATTGACTGTATTTTTTCTCGAATATTATGTATATACATATATTATACGTAATTATATGTACACGCACGGAGGAACTACCTCGGTTGCTGCTGCTATAGCTACGCCATTAATATTAGTAACCCAACAGTATGACTGACAGCGATTTTGGTGATATTTGAATATTTAGAAACTACATAGCTTTTATTGTTACATTAGTGCAATAATGACTACAATATTATTAGAGTCAATTTTCTTAAAACATAATAATACGTATTACAAACAAATATTATTATCAAGACGGGTGCAGCAAATATTATGGGTGGGAAGTTGGGAATGTATGATATAAAGGGAAATTTAATGTATATCTGCACGCCACGATTAACCATTGCTAAAGAAAAAACGATTCTGAACGGAGTTCGGTTGATGGTGTTGCTTTGTCAACAATATATATGTTGTATGATGGTAAAATAATTACATAATAATTAAACATTTTCTTTAACTATATTTGTTTAATATTTTATTTTATTTATTTAATATATCTAACGGGCGGATATTGTACCTATTTTTCATTTTTTTTTTTATATTTTTCCCGTTTTTTTCCTATTTATTAAGAAAACTCCTGGGAAAATAAAAAAATGACCTCCCTAGTCAGATTTTTTCTTTCACAAAAATTGCTTTCATTGTGAACCGGAGCAAAATTGTTGGTAGAAAAGTTGTTTACAGATAAAAAAAATAAAAAAATAAATAAACACCATTGTAAAACCAATACATTCCTCGTTTCACTTAGAATGTAAAAAAGAGCTGGCGGCTAATTTTTGAAAATGTGATAAAATTGTATCGATTGGTTATCGTTCGATTATTTGTCTACAGCATAAAAACCAGCGATAAAATTATATCAATCACTAGTAATATAATTTTTCATGAGTTAACAATGTTATAATTGAAATTCCTCTAGGTTTTTGATATTAGTGTATAGTATAATACTATTTGGTGTTACTATTTTTTTCATCCTCATGGTTACTGTATTAAATAGGTAGGTACTTAAAAACAGCTAACATTATTATTACCATGTGTTGGCCACATTTAATAAAATAGTGGCATTATTATTTTCTTCTACAGCACGAAAGCGACGAAATAATGATATGAATAATAGGCTTCAAACAAAAAAAATATTATGGATACATTTTCTATTTCAAATTCTCTATTTAGAAAAAATTTCAAAACAGGTAACTCTTTTATTAATTAATATGTTATCACCCCCCAGTGGCGTACCTAAGTCAAATTTTCGGGGAGGGGAGCAGATTATGAAATACTCCACAGCTAACAGAAAATTAAAAACAAATATTTTTTATATTGATTTAGATAGGTATATCTAAAATGGTCCTATATCATAAGAGCGGGATACTTTGCTCCAGTGGTTAAACATTGCTCCAAAAAAAATTATTGTGTTTGAAGGCTGTAGAGGCTCAACATCTGATAGGTTACATAATATAGATATTTTTTGAAAATTTGATTCTATACTGCTCTCATAAGTTTCGAAACCACGTTTTTCGACTTTTTTCGAAAACCAATGGGTCAGCTGGTCCTGAACTTTTAGTTTTGACATTGTGAATTTAAATACAGAAAAATAGATACGATTAAACGATTTCAACTTGTTATTAGTAATGGGCACTACTTGGGTTTACAATATTTACAACCAAGTTTTATAGATTAAATTTCATCTCCAAACACTAAGTTAAAACCACGAATTATGATAAAATCACAGATTCTACAAAATTTGTATATAATAAAAATGATGATAAAATGATAAAATTAACTACCTACTTTTCTACAACTTTATGATACATCAATTTATTATGTTACGAAAAAAATTATCGATGGAGACAAATGCCCCAGTGCCCCCCCCCCACCTTCAGCTACGCCACTGTTAGCACCTCAAATAGAAGTTTATCAACGTTCATCATCTATTAGTCTAGAAGTAAATGTAATATTTCTAATTAGGTATTTCCTACCTACCTACTTAATAAATATTTTAATTCAGTAAAATAGGTAGTTAATTTAACATTTAATGATAATTTACGTTTCGTAGGTCTTAATAGCATTATATTTTTTTGAAACGGGTTCATAACTAAATAACTAAATTACAGAATTTGAATATATAAAAAATGTATTATCAATTTATATTTTATCATTATCCCAAATTATTATTTATCATATTTATTTATTATTATTATTATGAGACGCTCGTTATAAATGTCTATGGATTACACTTACAACGTTATTGGTAAAATCACACATTACAAAGTCATGTTAACTTCATATGTATATTCAGAGACCGGGTCTATTAGTTTATACGTCTATGGTATTATTATTGGCATCCTAATAGAAAAATTATAATAGGTATCATATAGATAATAATTAACGTGTAGAAACAAAAATAAAAGTTATGCCTGCTAAACTAAAATCGTATACACACCAAAAGAAAATTATTATACAAATAAAATTTTCAATTAATCTACCATATATAGTCGTTAAAACAATGTAGATAAATATACTTATATCATTTCTAGGGGAAAGGATAGTGACAACTGACAATTATTATAATGAATGAAATATAAAACATTGAACAAATAAATAATAATATATTATAATTATTGGAGCACACACACACACACACTTATATATATATATAATATAATATTATGATAAACATTTAAAAACATAAATGTATGAATAGATATAATATCTGATACTTTATATCATTTCTGATTACTATAAAATACAATAATAATAATAACAATAATAACAATAACAATTAAAAATCGATGTTTACACGCCGAAACTGAGGTAGTGTAATCATTCTCATTTAACCGATATTTATTGTGTTTAATTTATCCTCATAATTAAGAAAATCACAAAAAATAACCAATGTATCAAAAAGATTTAAAATTTTATCTTCTAAAAACCACAAATAAAGTTTTTGATTGGATACTGGAACTCTTGTGGTAGACATTGTGTTATGCACTGCTCAGTATGTAAAAAGGCTATGGTTTTTTTTTTAAAACAATTTTTGTAGGTAACCTACCTATGCAAATTGTATAAATAAATACATTCAAGAAGAGACTGATTTAAATAATCAGCATGATTAAAAATTTGAATATAACAAATCAAGGACATATTTTTTAATATACGAAGGCGAAGAAGCGAGCAGTTTAAACATTACAAATAGAATTTACCTGATATTTGTTTAGATAAAAATGTATTTATCTTTGTCTAGATGACTTTTTGATCATTTGGTTAAAATATTATTTGTAATATATTGTTTATAATAATTAATCGTCAATCCATACCTATGAACCAATAAGGTAATTTGTCAGGGGAGTAACACACTGGATCTAGATCATCAAACAAGCATTTAAAAACTTACATGTATAGATAAGAAACCAAGATCTGTAAAATAGTTATGATAGGTCCATTACGAGAGGATGAATCGATAATCATCTAGTCTGTTCGTCGTATGCTGTGCGTCAAGGTTCAAAAAAACTATTTTGTGTGGGTTTTAATATTTTCAAGGGAGGACATGTCTTTTTCTTGTCCACCCCTAATGAGCACCAATGCATCGATCATCAAGATATATTAATATATTGATATAATCAATGATATATTAATTTAGTATAATATATGCATTTATAATATTTTAAATGCAAACTAATGATGATTAATATTGAATAATTAAAACATTTAAAACCTTTGGGAAATATAAAATGTTATTTTTATATACCCGTGCTAATTCATAATTATAATGTACTCATACTATGAATTTCATGTATAATATTAATTGATTAAGGATTTTATTGTTTATTGGTTAACAAATCTATAATATCAAAACAATTTTAAATATATACGTACTACATATACGAATACCTACCCTATATAGTAATAACTATAACTATAATTATAACTAATAACCAGGGTTCGGGACCTATAGCATTTGTTTATTTCTGTTGACTTGATATAAAATCTATCAGAGTAAAAAGAGAAAATGTATATTATATGAAGAGTTCAAAAATGAATTTTAAGTGTTTTTTTTTTTTATTATTTCGATATTTAAAAAAAATTTTAAAAAGATTTTAATATTTTTTTATGTATTTATTTCAGGGTTCATAATGAAGTTTTTAATCGTATTTTAAGTGCATACAAGTCCCGACCTATTATCATAATTAAAAATATTATAAATTTTAAAATGATTATGCAGTACAAAGTGGAGATTTGTATCCGGGAATAGATAGAAATCCTGTGTGAAATACTGTCTGATCGGGCTTTGTATTTCCTGCGAGCATTAGGAGTTTTTCAGCGGCCAACGGATGCCAAATTCCAAATGTGCACGTAACGTCGATTTTTTCGTGATAATAATGGCACCGATGTGTCATTCTTTCGGATGGTATAAATTCAAACATATTGACGACCGTGCATCGTGGCAATAGCATTGATAGTCCTATTCAAATCAAATATATTTTAATATATAGGGTTGTTTTTTATCATGATTCAACAATTATCCACAATGATTTTGAGTGTGATTGATTAGAGAAAATTCGCTATTTAAAATCAAAAGTTAATATGTATTTATCAGGAGCATAGCTAGACGGGAAAGAGCTCCGGGGCAGTTTAAAAACTAGGCCCTCCAACTAATATGATCTTTGTGAAAATTCAAAATATACCTATATGTAATATTGTTTTTTTAAGAGTAAATACTTACTATGGAACCACAAATGAAAATAATAAACAGATAAACAAATTAAAAGGAAACTCAGTTTACTATACAGTTTATTATACTATACAAATTGCAACCATCAGTGCGGTGAACTCTGTTCATTGTATTTATTGTGTGTAATATTATTTAATTTTCAGAATTGTCCAATGCCCCCGTGCTTTGGGGCCCTGGGGCATTGTTCCAATTTGCCCTATGATAGCTACGTCACTGGGGTTTAATGGTGTAAATTGAACGTATTAAAAACAAAATGTTGAAACATTATACCAAAGAAGATAACTGAACGGTTCTATAATAATTGAATTTAACCAAAATTAAATTTAGGTACCCAAAATCATTGAGTAATTGTTAAATCCCTATAAAAAGAAAAAAAATCACCATAGTTCTATTATGTTTACAAGTCCATGCAAATTATCTAATAAAAATATTTGTTAAGAATTCAATATTTACCAAAAAAAAAAAAATAAAAATATTTACTAGCATACAAATGTTAAGAAAACTAAAAAAATAAAAATACAAATGTTGCTACAAATTTCGAAAACTATAAATATGAATTAGATATTTGTTTTCTATATATGTATAAACATAGTAAATATGTATATATATTAGGTTTTAAGTATTAGATGCTTCATTTTCTTATTGAAATTATTGTTAAAAATAATCTTGAGTATTAAAAATCTAAAAACTTTAATACTGTATATAGCAAATATCTATGTATATATTTATAAAGCTTGTCATCATCAATGCAGAACCTCTACACAGGTTTGTAAGCTAACCTAAAAACCCGGAAGATGGAGGATTTCGTCTAATATGTGCAGTAGTGTGATCTTGTATGTAGTCCCATAAACGCCACAAGTATTGCGGGTGGACAATATGAAAGTTGGACTTAGGAATATTTTTTCTGAATTTGACGTAGTTATCTATGAAATTATGTTCTGGTTTCTTAATCCACTAAAAGTAAACAAAAACATTCAAAAAACCAAATTTAGAGAAAATTGGTTTTAAAATAATAAATATGTGTTGGGTAACATTAGACTATGTATACTTCGTCAATAGACGTCGTGTAGTTCGAAGGATCCCACATTAATAGTTTAAGCCGCTTGTATAACGGCGATGATACAAATTGAAATTGTGGTTTGCTGACAACTTGAGAGTTCAAAATACGTATGGTTGTCTTTGAACCGACGTCTTTTTCGTATCCTTTAGTTGGCGCATTATTAAACCGCAACACCAAGTCGTGTTGATCTACAAAACAACAAAAACAATATTTTCATCTGTTCTGCTATATTATATATCCAGGGTTTTCCAAATTGCATATAACACTTATTTTTTCAAAAAATGACTCACTAAAATACTTTTCGGAATTATATATTCTAAAATGTTTTATTGTCCTCATTTTTGGGATTAAAACAGTTACCTATTTTTGGTTTTCAAATAGCATTATATTATATTAAACATGTCATAAATAGACGAAGTAATAGTTTAAAATACATTTTGGTGTTGAAATGTCTGATTTTCGTCAAATCCCCGGCGTTAGACGTTCAATGTCATTATTTTAGATTTTAGATTCTGAGTGGGGCGAAGAAGCTTTATGGTCTTACAAAGATGTTTATTTTTTTTTTCTGTTGATAAATTTTCTACCAGTAATTTTGCTCCAATTTAGAATGATAGCACTGTTTCTGAAAGAAAATCTGACTAGGAAGGTATTTCAAAGATTTTTGTTTATTTTTTAAATTTGACAATTAACTTGGCTACTTCATGTATTGATCGAAAAATTGCCCATTTCACGAATCGGATAAATTCACGACTGGAAAGTTTAACATATTATTTCTCAAACTTATAAAAAAAAAAAATACATTTATAATATAAAATATATACTCCAATAAACAGAGTATTTTTTTCAATTTTTAGCTTTAATAGTAAATTCACACGAGTATATAATACCCCTATAGAACTATCCATTTCGTTTTTATAAATGTCAATTTTAACACACTATGTCAATAAAACAGAACTGATTCAATACTATTAGGTGTACACACTGTGATCGATTGAAAGTTAGGAGTTGGAACTAAATTTGTATTTATACGCAATTATAAATAATTTTTAACGAAATAAGTTTTTGAGCAAAGCACGGTTAAATTTCATCTTTTTAAAAGTCGCAATTTTTATGATTTTTGTCAAAATTAAAACATAAACTGGTTTATAAAAAAAACCCTACAATTATGCTCAAAATCTTTTCTTTCATAATCATTGACAAACTTCGAGTTAATTTTCAAGTATTTTTGCTGGGTCAAACCATTTTATCCACACATAACCAAATAAAACTAAAAATCTCGAAAACTTATAATAACCCTAAGAACGTCAGAATATGTTGAAAATTTGATCACTGTCTAAAAGCCTAATTTAAGTATCCAGTAAAAATGTCAGGTCTTCGTAATTATTTTCAACAACTAATTAATTATAACAAAAATCAAACCGCTATTATGTAAATTTTCCAATAATTATTCCAATATGCTTTTTCAATTATTTAGAAAATTGCATGGAAAATCAAAAAATGACCACCTCAATGCACTAATTAAACAAAATTTGCTTCTTATCAGAAAACCCTCTTTAGATGATGTTTGAAAAAAAAAGTCGTTTACAATGGACATAAAAAAACACATCATATTAAAACTAAAATTAAAACAACAATTGATTATTTATTTATTTATTTTTTTTTTTTTGTAACAATGTAGCATTTTGGTACTTTGGTATGTTGGTATTTTAATTACTACAAAACTGGTTTGTGATGAAATAAAATAATAGCCTGTAGCCTATATGAATTTTATTCATCCGAATTTTTTTTCTATAATGCGTTTCATAAATTCAATAACATTTTTTCTCTCGTTATTAAATTAACTATAATACCTACACCCACTATTCGTTGAATTTATTTGTTGATATACGTAAAATGACAGTGAAAACTCGATGGTGAATAAATTGGTTTATCTAATACGTATGATTTAGTTGCTAATGGTAGGTTATGACATTATAGTTAGTTAATTTAAACTTTCACCTATAAAAGATCCGAGGTTTGAATTTCGAAGAGTAGCCGCGTTAGATATAATTGCGCAGGTACCGTAAATTTCATTATCATTAAATAATGGTATATCTGGAATATTTTTAGTTAATTCATGGTCAATATCATTTTTCTCCAACGTTCTAAATTGCTCCATGTTGGAAGCCATATCACACATCCAGTCGCTGTTGACGTTATTCGATGCTTGTGGTCTGTACGGGACGTCGTATGGATTCTCGTTTTTAACGGATCCATAATAGCTACTCTCCTTCATGATGACCTGCCTCAAACGGGCAATGATTTTATTTTTGAAATTAAATAACCTGAAAATAATATTACTTAAGTTAGTAAATTAATGAATATATCATACTATTACTATATATGGGTGTTTGCCAAGAATGCAGCAAAGTTAGGGGACGTATTTCAGTTGGTTAAATTACACCTAGCAAGAACAAATTTCTATTCGTTTATTTTTCAGTAATTTTACTATATATATTAAACATAATATGTATTCTACCCGAAAAATAAGTAATATCCATTGGCATACCCAGGTAGACTAAGGAAATTTCATTAATCGTGTGCAATACAATACAACAAATGTTAACTAGGTATTCAGCATTACAAAACTATCCTATTTATTATTATACAGAGAATAAAATTGTTCGGAAATTAAAAATTTTATCACAAAATTGGTTTAAACTAATACTCTTTCTATTTACATAGTACATACATGACATTTAAAATAAGAGGAAGGTAAGGAGATATAGGTATCTCTAAAAAGTAACTTACTCAAAGTTTTTGGTTATTTTTAGAACAAAAATTGAACTTTTTTGTTTATTTATGAGTTACATTGGCGAACTGATAAAAAATGTTTTCGTACATAATAATGTATTTTTCAAAATATTTTGTTTGTGCTTAGCCCCCTATCTCCACCCCTATTGAAAAACCATAGGCATGATCATGCCTATAGTATAAGGTATATAATATAGTTTATTAAAAACACTATTAACTCAAATAGAAATTGATTAATCGAAAGTTTATTGAAGTATAATATAATATTTTCATATATATATATTATTAATATTTTGATTAACTTTCAAATTGAAACTGATAAAATTGTAATTTCCCAGTAAAATACACTATGTAGGTAAGACGAAAATCTTTATTTTTAATTACTAATATTAATGATATAGGTTAATAATATTATAATAATTTAAATTATATTGGTCCTCATATATGCACGCAAGAAATATTCTATATAATATGTACGGTACCTCATGCACAAATTTACAAGTAATCAAATTCTGTATTATAATTCGTTCACCTAAAATAATTGTATTTTTTAAACCGTTTTCAATTTGAAAACGTAAAATGTACGTAAACGTATTTTTCTGTCTAGAAACTTTGGTATAGGTAGGTATATAAAATATGCGTATAGTAGGCAGTGGCGCAACAACCTAGGCGCATGGCGATGCTTAACGGTGCAAGCGATGCAAGACATAAACGGGGCCACATCACAATTGTAAACTGGGAAAGTATTTTTAACGCGATATAATCATATAAAATCTGCGATTATTTAAAATTTTGAACATGACGAATGGTGATTAGTTCTGATTGAATAATAATAATAATAATAAAAATAATAATAATAATAATAATAATAATAATAATATTCAATAATAAATAATATTGCAGTGTGACACCACTGGCACGCGCAGCCCGCATGCCAAAGTAATAATAAACTAATAGGTATTATTATAGCTATACTACTACAATATTACTTTGTTTACTTCATTAGTCTATAATATTATGTATTATTGTTAATGCACGTTAACATTCTGAGAATAACAGCTCGTCTTCGATAGACGATGAAATCGTACTATCTTGTGATGGGTGGGGGCCAGCGTTTATTTTCTATCTTCTCGATAAATATTATTAATATATACCAAAAAAATATAAGTCAGGAAGAACAAAAATTTACATAATGGTTGTGAAAACTTGAAACAAGATACATCTACAATTAAAGAGTTGAGAAATAATTAGTATGACTTATTGGAAATAGCTAAAATCATGTGCATAAAATGAAGGATTTCACAAGAATTTCATGTACAAAGATTAAATTTAGGAAGAATCGAAGAAAACATTTTGTTGAAGTAGATGGCGATCGTCGATCTAATATTATACAAGATAATTTAAGAACCAAGATTTTTCTACCAGTCATAGGTAGTTTTTCAATTAGACAATCGGTTTCAGGGTTTAAAAAAGGTAATTGAATAATTTTAATTTTTAAATTTTTCTTCACTAGTTAATTAACGGAAGAAGGTATTATAAAAGCTCCATATGGATTTGTTCATTTTTATAACGTTGATACTGGCTCAAATTTTACCAAGAAAATTGTATGTATACACAATTTTAATAAATTTAAAAAACTAAAAATATTAAACAACTAGCAATGCTTATTGAAAATGATTTTTGTACCACCCACTTATTGTGAAGCATTAAGAGCGTGTACTACATATCTTACATTACCAGTCACTGTCGCATTAGTCGAAGCCGAACTCTCATTTTTGAAGCTTAAATTAATACAAATCTATTTAAGAAATTCAATGGTGCATAATCGTTTATCAAATATTGCTTTGTTAAACATCGTAAAAGAACAAGCTAATAACCTAGGTATAAATATTAATCAGATACGTATTGCTGAAGCTAAAGCAAGAAAAGTTAATTTACTTAGTTAAATAATTATTTTAAAAATATTGTAATTTTAATTTAATAAGCTATGAGTAAATTAATATGTATAAAGTTATATTCGTTATAGTGAATATTTAGTATACATATACTAGATTTGTAAAATAAAATAAAGCTATATAATATGCGGATGCTTACAAAGAAAAAATAATAATACTTCTTATACTTATTTGAATTATAAATTCAACCAGATTTGTTGAGCAGAACAAAAATATCGAATTTTAATAATATTTGTTACATATTATACTTGTATGTACACATAATATTTTTTGTCAAATTGGTACTTTCATTTGGTTATTTTTTCACTGACGATTTTTTTTTTTTTTTTTTTTGTTTAACTGTTTCTCTGTAATTTATATTGTGTAATATTATTATTTTTAATTATTATAATTTATTATTATTATAACTTAACCTTACATATATATTATTATTCCGCTGCTAATAAATACAAATTGAGTAGCGCGTTTAATGATAAGTAATCACTAGTCAGTATTCAAAAAAAAATAATAATAATTTACTACGAATACTTAAATAGTGATAGGGCCCCGGACTTACCTTATCATCGGAGCCCCAAAATCTTAGTTGCACCTTTGATAGTAGTTACTTATTGAAATTGAAAAAATAATTATAATTATAGTAGATTATATATACTACTGGGTGCTTATTGTTACCAATAATAATTTGAAATTTACGAAAGCTTATATCACAATATTATTCGTTTTCTTACCAAAAATGTATTTTATATTAACTATTCTTATCATTATCGAAAATTGATAGCATTTTAATTTCAATTTGTTCCGAAAAACGCAGAATGTTGTTATTACCTTCAAAATTCAATTGCGTCAATAGTATAATAATAAATAAATAAAATGATACATGCCTGATTTTTTCAGTCTTGTCCAGGTACACTTCGTTAATGTGCATAAGCGAATTTATCATATTTACACTTTGATGGACTGTTGTAACATCGCCTTCGTCGTAATACTCGACGTAAGGCTGTTGCGTGTATGCTGCTTCTTTAGCTTGTTGATTTTTGATAGTTATATGATGCCAATATTGGAGCCAGAGTAGATAAATGTATCCGCACATGCCCAACAACACGACGTTTATAAAAAACCATACCGTTAACACAACCGAACGCATTTTGTGCGGATATTAGTGGATTACTTAATGTCTGAAAATTAAATTTAGGGAATGCTATGTATACTCGGTAGATACATTATTAAATATATATTTTTGGTCTCAGGGAAGAAGGGCTTATTAAATCAATTGATAGCATTTTTTTTTTTTTTTTTTAATATGATTTTGTCTAATCTATTTTTTTTTCTTTTATTTTTTGGTTTAGTAATGGCACAAGTGTACGTATTTTACAAATTAGTGTGTAAAGTGTATTAGTATATACGCATATTAATTCTAAAAATGTATTTATTTTAAAAACTGTATTTTCTTGTATTGAAGACTATACGGAATTTGCTTAAGCCCTTTTTCCCCAGGACTAGAGATATACCACAGAGAGATATAGATTAATACCTATATTATGCGAATTTTTAAAAATAAAAATTGACGCCGTGTAATAAATGATGCCATTATTTTGTAAGAGTTTACCGATCGAATTTGATAGTTTGATTTTTCGATAGAAAATAATTGGTGTTTTTTCCAAAAGAAATACAGTATTAAATTAATAAAAAAAAAAAAAAACAATAAAACAAAAAACATATATGCTTGTGTAATTTATAGCTCACGAATTTTGCGTAAACGTTTCAACGAGAAAATAACTCATCGTTTTTTATTATAATATTAAAAATAATAATAGGTAGGTAATAATAATTAGGAAAACAATTTTCGTTTAATTTGACATTGTAATGCATATTAATAATTTTAACCCGAACTGTTTCGGACCACAAGTGTTAAATTAATAATGATTTCGATTAATAATAAAAAACAATTATCGGATGTGCATGTATAAAAAATTGTTAAGACGATCCAATTAAAATTCGATTAAAATGTCTAGATAATTACTATAATAATTTGAACCACCCGTGGCGATAGTAAAATAGTAGTAATTAATAATTGATCCGCAAACAATTGAATTGCAAAGTCGTGTTAAAATATATGCGTATTATTATAATTTTAAATTACTTGTATTGCGATCGTCCGCGGACATCAGTTTATATTGACTTACGACAGGAAAATCTTTATACTTTTTTACTTTTTTATTTTATCAAACAAATTAACTACTCGTATTCACATGTATTTTGCTGTGTTAGAAGTACCGGACAGGTAATGGTGTACACGCGATATGCGGAAGAAAATGTTCCAGTGAAATGAGATTTCCGTCTGGTACGCAGCATCGCCGTTGTGTAAACATCTGTGTTCGCGAGGGGATCAATAAATGGATAGGTACTTGCGCCTTCAAACCGCGAATGTGGCGCTTTTGCACACAGCATCATTACCCGGAAATCCGGGGTCACGAAAATAAACGAACAATAAATATACATATAGGTATATTTTTCGAACGATATTTTCCTGTTATTTGTGTGGCGTGAAAAATACAGTCCCGACGAGAATATTTATACATAATATACGTTATGTGATAATAATAGTAATATAATGGTACATAAGTATTTACAAATAATAGTGGGCATTATTATAATAATGAAAATATTTAGCCCACCCATGGGTAGCCACTGTTGTAGGCGATGGGAAGTCGGAAAGGTATAGGTTGTATCGCCATCATCAAGCAAAAAGTGTGCCAGTGAAATTTTAACATTGTCGGTAAACCGGAATTTTCATAATCGATTGAAAATCTGTATCTTGGTCGAAATAAAATAACCCACAACTCTGTGTATATTTTTCATTTCCAGTTGTTCATTTTTTTCTGTATTATATATAGGTATTTGAAAAAAAAATTGTTCATCTTCAATATTATTTTTCTACACTCGATCACGTTTTGTATGTCGATATATAGGGTAATTTAGTTAAAAGCTGTATTAGATGATAAATCACTACGAAATCGCAAACGAAAAACGACTCCGAGCTGAGTTTGATAAACAGCCGGTAAGGTTATTATATCAGTCATTTTTAGGTGACCCAGATATCTAATACGGCACACAAGTGCTGTATCGTTCATTCGTGCACACAGCTACACCACCAACCTCCACTGGGGCCCACTGGGGTGGACTGGGCTGGGTCGCTGATCGATAAACGTAGACTGGCTTGTCGTCTGTATTGTGATTTGACCCGTCAGACAAAAATCTACCTATTCTTGTAACATTATAATATGTAAATTATATTGTTATAATTATAAAAAGCTGTAAACATAAATTGAATAATATCTACAGCGAAAACATAATTAGCAAATATGACCACATAGTAATACTCTCGTTATATTTTTGTAATTACACGAATGCGAAAAATAGTTTTTTTGTGGCCAGAAAAACAAACGTATAATACGCAGGATACAAGGGATCTTTCCTTTTTTAAGCCCCTTTGCCGTCTCATCGAATTTTCCAAAACTAGACGACCAACCAACTTTAAATTAGTTGTATGATTATTATTAAAATATCAATAACAATTTTTATGAAATAATTTGCATTTTTAGCACTTAGGTATACTTCAATTTTATAAAATAATTTTACGTTTTGTTATTTGATAAAGTTATTAAGTTCCAGTGGCTTCATTAGGGGGGGGATAAGTCACCTAAAACCTTCTAAATACAAGATTTCTTCAAATCGAATGCATTTAATATTATAGTGGGGCTTAAGCTCCTCCCTAATATTTATAAGTTAATTGCGCAATTGATTCCCATATATTTTATTTTATATTGGCATTTAGTCTCTAAAAATATTGCTTAAGCCCATCAGTTGAGGAAATTAACTCAAAATTATGAAGCAAATATAGATACTAATTATCTGTATTAAGAGTTTAATGAGGAGAATTATGAGAAAAAAAATGAAAATGACACAGATTTTGAAGATGATGCAAAAGGTGCATTAACTGATAAATATTAATGTAATCAATGGATTTCTTGTGCATTTCTTTGCTTATACATATAAGTCACATAAGTCAATAAGTGATCTATACAACAAATTATGATATTTTCTACAAACTATAATAATAGGTTTAGCTTTTCCTGGAGTAAGTCGTGAAAATATTTTTTTCATACCTAAAACTATAAAAATAAAATTTAGGTTAACTATTTCTCACGAAAGATTAGAAACATTCAAGTTTATGAATCTAGATCACGGAATATTAGTATCCCATGATATTAATATTAATAATCATTTAGTTTCTACCGAAATGAAAAGAATGCTTATTGAGTATTTTTTGTAGTTATAAGCAATGTTTTAAATTAATTTAATCTTACGGACAATGTCAAATTGAATATTTAACATACCTACCTACTTTAACTATAACAACAAAATATACAGCTTTAAATTGGTTTAGTATTTCCTATTATATAATGTGTACACTGTATAATGTACATGTATATAGTATCACATTTACATACATTAATTTAAATTTAAATTCGTAATGGAATATTTCAGCTAATAAACTAAATTACCCGGTATCCTAAAACTTCCCATCTTTCCTACTTATAAACACTGTTCTGTACATCGTATGAATGTAGCCACTACTATTACGGTAAGTTTGTACAAAAAACAAAATCCATAGTGGACAATAGCCTAGTGACACACCTCAAAATAAGTGCTTGCAATAACACAAAAAAAACACTTGAAATCAGATTTTTATTTGTTGTATTTTTTTTTTTTATAAATAATTAATTTTACTATTTTTGTTAATTTTTGGTCAAACTTTCATTAGCCTGAAGTTTTAAAACTGCGAACTGACCAGTCATCTAGCCAATCCACCCTTGTAAATATGTTTTTAATTACTAAGCCAAGCAAATCAGTACTACATAAAATATATTTAAAAAAAATATTCTTCCTCAAATGTTAGACAAAGGTTTACCTATAACTTCTAATTACTATGCGATATACCTTACCTTAGTATATATCTTACCTTATATACTTTTTTTTTCATATTATCTTAAACTAATTGTATTTCTGCTTAATTTTAGATTTAAAATAAAGGGTTATAAATTAAAAGTGATCTTTCAATCATCAAACTTAAACTTAAAAAATAAAAGAACTGATACTAGGAACGAGTGTGCCGTTGTTGTAGGTAGAAAGTTAGAAAGGTAGAACACATAAAATTATTCAATTTATATCTGTAAACAACGATAAACTATTGCTAATGAAAAACGAAATTTGGTTATCGGTTAAAAAAAAAAAATTACTTCATTAAACGTGATTTTTTTTTAGACCACAAAGTTTGACTTAATTGAAATTCCTGTTAAATTGTCAAAAACTCGTTTATAATAACAATGTTTGTTCTATGTTTGGTCTAAAAATTGTCTCCACAGAGTACCTACAGAATAAAAATTACGTAAAAAACTCTCAAAATTAAAATGTCTATAAATGGCTCAAATATTTTTAAAATTTTACCTCGTCTAGAAAATGCAAATATAAGTTTTCTATCAAAGGTTCATAACTCTACGACTATTTATAACTAAATTACGCAAAAAAAAAAAAATTGAAACCAAGAAAATAATTAATTTCGTAAATAGACCAGTACTTTCTACGTTTTTTTCGGTTTTGCTCATTTTGCTCAATTATTAAAAAAACTACAAGAAAAATAAAAAAATGTACTTTCTTCGTCACCAACTAAATTAACAGTTCAACTAAAAAAGTCTCTAGATTTTCTATTGGAGCAATATTTCTGGTTAAAAACATAAAGCGTATACATTTTAAATATATTTTTATATTTATGTTATTTTTTGTCGCCCTTATTTTTGGAGGTAAGACCGCTTACTACTTTTGATTTTCAAATGGCAACCTATATCAAAATATCCATAAATAGATGGAGTATCAGTTTAAATAAGCATGAGTGTTGACATTTTTCATTTCTGCCAACCATTGACGAGATATTCCACTTTAAGTTTTTTGGTTGGTATATATATATACTCGTATATACTTATTCATAGTTAGATATATATGGACAACCATTAGATATTTCCATGTATATTCATTGGATATTTATTATGAATACTCTTTTTATAAATCCCTATATTTTTATAAATTAATCCCTAAAAATGGCCATTTGGATATCCCTTCAATATCCAATAAGTATTTCTAATGGATATCTCGTTATACGTGTTTGTGTTGTGCGGGACAAAATAATCCCAACACTCAAAATTCTCAACCTCACACGTGTAAACAAATGATTTCTGATTATTTATTTTTCGCATCTTGTTTTTGATTGTATATTTGTTCCTGTGAAAGTGCAGAAAAATAGTACCTACAATTATATATTTTATAAACAAATGAAAACAATTAAAGGTTATATTTTGGTCTGACACTTTATTATTATTAATATATTTTAATATTATATTTATATATATATATTATATATATATATAAAGAAAACATGATTAATATATGTATTTATTAAGTATTATAATAGGTAATAATATTATTATATTAAACAGTCTTAATCAACAAAATGTTCTGACGCTCTTGATGATGAGCGGTAAAATATATAGGTATACATAATAATACGATTTAATATTATATTTTAAGTATATAATATATAATATATAAGAAAATATTCGTATAACGTTGCAAAGTCGATTTATTATAATATTTTGCATTAACTATATAATATAATAAATGTTAATGATATAATAATAATATGCATAATATAATGTAATAAATATATATATAGAGAGTATAATATTATAGTTAATTATTGCGATAGTATCGTATAGTGTAATAATATAATGGTATATTATTTTATAGGTGAATAAATTATTCATTTTTTTTTTTATTGTACCTATTCATATTCAGATAGTAATTCTCGTTGTATCAATGATTGTTTCGGTTTCGATTATAACAAGGGTATAAATTTAAAAATAAACACTATTTTAATATTTTTAGCAACAGCTGTGTGATTATTAGTATTATTAGTATTATTAATATTATTAATAATGTAATGCTATTAGTTAATGAATAAAAATCAAGATCACCGGAATGATTTTAACAAGCTGTAATCGAATTACCTATATTATAGTATAGGTCAAAGGTATATTTTTAATATTTTGTATTACAGTAATATCACGTAGACATTATGGTGACGCTACAGTTGTGTATATTATTGATTAGGTATATTATTATTTTTGTCGGGAAGAAAAAAAAAATGTACAAGCGTGTAATTTATCAAGCGTTGGTTAGTAAATTTTTTGAAGGTGATTATTTATTATTCTTCGTCCGCTTCGTTTTGGTAGGTAATGTAACGTACCGATGACTTTTCTCCGGTGACTAGTGACTGCGAAAATAATAACATACCAATAATGCATTAATGTATTCTATGTATTCTCCTATATAATAGTTGTAAAACATTATTTTAAAATTACTTTGTTAAGAATTTTTTTTTTAACACAAATTAATATTCCCCAACACCTTTACACTTTGTTTTTTATTTTAGTTTTTAGCCATAAGCATATTATATTCATTAACCATAGATTAACTATTATAGGTTATTGTTAATATTTAAAGCCGATTTTAAGAGTTAGTATTTTTAGTAGTTATCTGTATTCTTTATTAAAGCTATAAAATGATAGTCTAATAGTTTTACATACCCATTGAAATTGGTCGAATATTTATATTCCGCGTTATTCTATATAAACCTACTATTCTTTTTGAAAAAAAAGTGAGAATGTAATTATACATATTAAATGTGTTATTTTACTAGCTTATTATCTATTATCCATATATTTATAACAATACATATAAATATATAGTCGAAATCTAAAAAAATATCTACACTAATATTACTATTAAAATATTGAGTATGCAATTTTAAAATTATAAACAAAAATTTAACTAATAAAACATTTTATTTGACTTTTACGGAAAATTATGTACTTTATTAGTCATTTATTTAATCATTTTCAGTATCTATTTTACTGTTTTTTACATTAAAAGTTAAATTTTATTTGACCTAAATCTATATAGTTTATTTCAATATTAGAGGAGCTAAACAAAATTTATATGAAATTATAACGTTAACTGATAGCTTTAGAGACGTATTTAAGAAATGGGAAAGCTTGTGTCCTGGGTGGTACAATTTATAGACCATTTTCATACATTGTATTTGACTGATTAAAAAAATAAAATACAAACACCCAAATACGTCTCTGGGTAACTATACAAATACTGCAACTGTATACAATTTTTTTAATTGAATGATGAAGCAAATTGTATAGATATGTATCATCATTTGATAATATTTTTCAAAAATTCTGTCCAATTCTATAATTTAGTCGACGATGTAAATTCAGATGATTTTACTTTTTTCTCTTCCTTTGTTGGTGGACTGCGTAACAAGTAGAGAAGTGGTGCGTACAAAAAGTTCAACATTGCCGTTCCGAATAACATCCATTCAAATCCAATTGTATTCACCAACGTACCGCTTAAAGCCGGTCCTATTATAGTAAAAAATTAAATGTATATAAGCATTATAAACATCACTCGATAACGTTTTATTAATTTTGATTGTATTCGAATTGAAAGTGAATTAAATATATGTACGACATATATTATAACATATACAAATAAACAAAACCCTACTAACCGATTGTATAACCAAGACAAAAAGCCACATCTCCGATCGCGTAAACACTGCCATAAACAGCTGTATGACGAATATCGACCAAATATCCAAGCTCGGGCATCATAGACGAATCCACCATGCCAATGGCAAAACCTAAACCAGCGTTTGGCACAATCAAGTGGTTAATGTCTCTTGCTGTAGGTATCTGTGAAAAATATAAAATATACTTAAATATATTTATACGATATATTATAATATAAGTTCTGTTGAAAAATTTAATCATTAAATGGGTTTATGATGGTTTATGAATGAATAATTATATTATCTTACTATCATCAAACAAATCCCGATTACAATCAATCCAATCATTGCAGCTAACCATCTGTAAATTGTGTAGATATATTATTGTAACAATTATTGTAATCATCGATTTATTACCGAAAACTTCTAGATAGTTTACATATATACTATCTATAGTTTTGATGAAATATCGAATTTTTACTCAAATACATTTTTTTCAAGACCCAATAGTTTTATTCAAGAAAACTATTGAGTATTTCGAAAAATTGTTCGAACAGTTTTTTCCATAGCTTAATTAAATAGCTTTTAATCGATCAAATAGCCCAAATGTGGTCAACTATCCAATAGATCAATAGTAACTATTCGGTCGTGACCATATTGCTAATTGTTATTAGTTATTACCTGCCCATACGATGACCAAGTGGTCCAAACAAATTTGTTCCGATCAAATAAGAAATGCTGGCTGGTAAAAATGTCACTCCTTGTTTCCATCTCTCGGCGCCCATAGTATCCATCATCCATATCGGTAAAGACGGTTCAAGCATTGCGATTCCAGTATTTGCGAATGTTATAGCACCTAATTTAAACAATATAATTGTTTTAATATCTTTCAAAAAGTTTTGAATTATTTAATTATTATTACCGGCCGCAACTATTATGTACGGATCCATAACCAAAGATTTCAACGAAGGAGGATCAGCATCCGTTTTGACCACTCCAGGTTGTAAAAGCAACAGCTGTAGCACTATTATAATATATAAAAAAGTCAAAAATTAAATTAAAATATTTTTTTTTTTTTTGAAATTTGTATTTGACAAATAAAGTATAATAAGAAAGTTCCTAAGAAAAAAAAATATATGAATCGAATTTGTAATTTTTTGGTGTTCATGCTTAAAAGAGTTGTTATTTCAAAAATTCTTGTACAAAGAAAATATGTAAAAAAATAAATAAAATAACGTACGAAGTAAATATTGTGCACGTATTAAATACAAACCAGTGTTATATAAGACCATTAAAGACAATATTCTAAATAATATTTATATAACTAAGTATAGTAGTTATTATTAATGAATAATAATTATATGATAACCAATAGTTTGATACAAATTTGTATTAGAGTACCTATCTATACGCATATATATATATATATATATATCTATATACATGTTTTTATGTATACCTACGTATAAAACTAAAATTCTAAATCCTATTTTAACAACATAAAAATATTTGAACAACCACTGTTTATTTATGGTTTACAATGAAATCGAAACAGATGTTTTAATAATGAATCTTGTATCAGTTTTATATATGATAAGTGATAAGTAATTAAAAATATATTTTGTATATAAAATAAATTACTTTTTTACTATAATACATTAAAAAAAAAAAACAGCGATTTTGATATTTTAACTAACTACGAAATTTAGATTATAATTGGATTTTGTTATAAACGTGTTAAATTAGAATAATAGTTTCTAGTATAATATGTGCCATAAACTGTAAAATTTATCTAAAATTAAATATTTCATAAAGCAGATGTGAAAAATCAAACATAATATAGTTTTGTGTCATTAACTATTCCATTGCTTATATAAAAATCGAATTATTATTTTACTCTTAGTTCAAAATTACATGCAAATATTGTGAAATAATAAATATAATACTAAACTAAAGTGATTAATATAGGTGAATAAGATATGCAATAAAATATTATAGCACATAATTACCAAACGTACTTGGGTATAGGTAAGTAATTGGATATAAGTCATAATGTATTTTATATTTCCGTGTTGTTAATTTAGATCCAAAATGTATCTAGAATCCAGATAATTACGGAGAATATTTTTTTTATAGTAAAATTTATAATATGACATAGTATAAAAGTTAAATATAGTTTTAGTTTATTGTAGATTTGTTTACAGTTTAGATTCTGAGCGTAACGAGGAATGTATTGGTTTTACAATGTTTTTTAATTTTTTTGGAACAACTTTTCTGCTAAAAAGTTTGCTCCAATTTTCAAGTTAAACGCTTTTTCTGAAAGGAAATCTGACTGGGGTAGTACTTTTGAATAGTCATTTTTTGATTTACCCATGTGTTTTCACAATAAATGTGAAAACCTGGGAAAAAACGTGAGAATAACAGGAAAATTATTAGTATTATTTTCAAATCGTAAATATTACGGCTTTTCAAAACATATATAACCGAATTCCGCTCAAAATCGTTTTTCGGTAGCCATGATTAATCTTTGCATACAGATATATATTACATTTTTCCTCTCTACTTGCATACTTCTAACCTATTACAGTAGCCCACCCATCGTGGAATGTATGTCCGTTTGTTTTTTATTATCAAAACATTAAATTATTCATTTTAAATATAAATAATATTTACGTGAAGAAATAATGTTAAAAATGTACAGTTTATTAATAAGAAATTCAATTTCAATCATTATTGGAATCACAGGTAGTGGTTTTCGTTATTAGATAATTAATAAAATGTTTGTAGAAAAGATAATTATTAGTGTAATTAAGTTTTATTTTTTTTTCTTATCTGTATACATATAGTGTATACCTATGTATTTTTTTATTAATCTGTATGTTTACTAAATAAATAAATATTAATACCAAATATGTGATACAAATATTCGTGAAAATTGTTCAAATAGATAAAGTATGTAGTTAATATACCTACGTTATTAAGAAAATTAATAATATAAAAACGGATGGACCGATTTGATTGATTTTTTTTTGTATTCGTAAATGTCAGTAAAAGGTTTATATGAAAGAAAATTTTTAAAAAATTTACCGAAAAATTTGAAAATTTGAATGGTATTCAAGTTATGTATTCATTTTATATTAATATAAATTGTTGGAAAATACGCACATAAAGGTATAAAAAGAACGCCGCGCTCACTTTCCCACTGTCGGGCGTCCCCATTCCCCGATGGATAAGGTTAGGCTTCACTTCCTTTGATATTCACCCCACCTCTTAAATTTTTGGTATGAAAATCACGAAAAAATGTCCTAACACAACAACTTTAGTCTGTTGAAGGTGGGCTATCCACTTTCAACCTATTTGTTTTCATTTTGACACGGTCAAAACTAAAAAGAGATATGGGTAAAAATGTATAAAAAATTGACACAGTAACGGCGGGCGGGAAAGCTAGAATGGTATAAATCTTATTCTTTTATTCGTATATACATATATATATATGTATATATTTTTTTATATAGGTAAGAAAATACTTAACTAAAAACCATATTATCGGAGCCTGGATGGTATTCATTTAAGCATGCAGTGGCGGTTTTTAAGGGAAATGGAAATGGGGGATCCCCTTGTCCTTTATATCTTATTACAATGTGTATGTATACAAATAATTATTTGATTTTTTTTTTTGATTTCGCTTTTGTTTGCATTTATATTTTAATTCTATAGACAACGAAGATATCTCAATATTGACTTTTTCGTTTAGTGTTACTTCATATTTACCGAGTACTTGATATTTCAATAGAGTTAAATATTGATCGCTTTGCACGTAGCAAAAAAAATAAATCTTGATTTTATTATTTAATACAAATTTGTTTAATTTATAAAATATATTCATACATTTATATATATATATATATATATAATATGATAATTTGAATAAATGTATAAATAATAAACGGTTTTATTTTAGATTTTGTTTTTGTGTTGTAAATCGGTTAAAACTAATCGTAGAGATCTGACATTTTTATAGAATAATTATATTAACCTTTTCTAGACGTGTTAGATATTTCAAAATATTTAGATAATTTTTGTGTCTATGTTTTAGTTAGGTTAATGGAGCCAATGCAAGATGCTGTAATTCAAGGTATAAATTTGGAGGAGGAGAATTGAGATACTAATCGTCACTCCCTGCTTAAAGGCTAGTCAAAATTGCTACTGAAAGCATTGAATTTTAGTGAAATATATTCTTTTTGATGAATTACATTATATATTATTATATAATTAGTATTATTATTACAAACTAATAATGTTTTAAACAAAATGTGTAATAAAAATACAAATTTGGTAGGTATTTACAATATCATTGAAATCGAATATCAAATAAATATTGATTTATCTCAAAAATCGTCCAAAATAATATTATTTTGTTATTAACAGTTTTGAACAATCGTAAAATAGCGTTAGTTACAAGCATGGCGTTTTATAATATTCCTAATGTTATAATTTATTAATATGTACAAAAAATATATACGTAGGTAATATTATAACTTGAAAATTTATTTTAAAAAAAGTTTATGAAACCTAATCGACCAATATGATGTATAAAATCCTATAAATTTCACAAAATTTGAACTTTAGCGGGGTACTCTATATTGTTTATATACGTATACATAGGTAATAGTAATTTATTTGTACCTAGTTATTATTTTATAACTAAATAGCATAGACCGTTGACCTAAATGTGTATATACTACAACTATACATATAATTATTAACACTTTAATTAAGTGTCTGCAACCTACACATAACAACACAGCACATACTTCATACAGACAATAGATTAACTTCATAAAAACATGGGTACCTATAAAATACGTGACGTAAAATTATATACCTACCTATTATGTTTTATTTAGTGTTTTTAATCTAATAGAAAATAATAGTGGTTTAATATGAGTTCCCAATTTCCCATATATAGTAGATATATTTACAAAAACCCTTTACAATATTTGCACGCATGCCTGAAACGATATGGAGTCTTCTAGTTTATTAAATAATGCGGATAGGTAGTTGAAATTATTAAAATTTTGGGATTAGGCCACTTAAAATAATTTACGAAATGATATTATAGTAGAATGATCGAGTTTTTTAATCCACATTTTCTGCAGTGTCAACTCTTAAGATGACCATTTATAAAAAAAAAAAAAAACAAAAAAACTTATCGACAACTTCCTCACAGACTGGATATTTAGATAATAATGATACTCGTAAGTAAATTATATTTTAACTTCTTAAAATTGGAATATTTAATCATAATACTTTATAAGAGAAAATTTAACGATTAAGTAATTGTTATTTGTTTTAATACAGTTTTACATATTATGTAGTTATAACATTTACACTTAAATAACTATACAAAGGTCCAATCTATATAAGTGGTTCTTAATCTGTGGTGTGCGTACCACTGATGGCATATGATAGGTAATATGGTTGTATCCTGAAGGCCACATGATGGTTGTACGAAAAATAAATAAATATTTGTACTTTGTTTTTTACGGATATGATGTTATTTTATAATTTGTTTGAAAATTAAAAAATCTTTATAAATAATTGTTGGTGTAGTATTTTACTGTTTTAAAATTTGAAATAAATGTATTACAGTTTTGAATAGTTTAATTTTTATTCATAAGTGGTACTTGACAGATCCGTAATACACATTAGTGATAGGCGAAATAAAAAATGTCAAAACCACTGATATAAGATATATTATACTGTCTCTAAAAATCTCATACAATGCTCAATCCAACTGTGATTTATATAGGACCAAACAACGTATGCAGCAAAGTGTGTTATTCAGTTTAATTACTTACTGAAATATCTTTATACAGTTTAATGGCATATACCGCAAGTCAATCATTCGCAATAGACACGGGATTTTAATTAAAATGTTTTAAACTTAATATTCAAATTATTTCCGTACATCCGTCTCCTAGTGCCAAAGCCGAAAGTATTAAAAACGGAGCCGTTTTTCCCACAAATTCATACATGATGCCGCCAAATGGTGGGCCGATCAATACACCTAGAGCTAATCCACCTAATGCAATACCCATTGCGTTTCCTCGTTCTTTATCATCCGGGTATCGTTCAGCCAACATTCCCATCCCTGGAAAAAAAATAAGTATGTCAATATACACGTATTTGTACCTAAAAATATCTAACAAAACAAACAATAATTTTTTCAAAACAATATAATATATGTAAACATTTTAGATTGTTTTTGTTGCTGTATAGTATAATAATTACCAGAGACTGTTGAACAAGATGATCCGATACCTTGCAAAGCTCTCGCTACAAAAAGTACTCCATAACTTCGACCAAAAGCAAATACTACAAAAATAATATATTAAATACAATTAAAAAAAAAAATGAATTATATATATACGTGATCCGATGACTGATTTTTACTTATGGTAGATATAAACATGATGAAAAATCCTGTAAACATTGGAATGCTATAGCCAATCCGGTGGGTTAGAGGTCCAACAATTGGGTTTACCATAAGCTGCACTACCGCTTTTGACGCAAACATCATACCGACCGCAACAGTTTCGTGAACCAGATCGTCGTGTCTTTCCTTTTTGAGAATTGCTTCTTGTGTTTGCCAACTAGTTGTTCCATTTTCTAATTTAATTTGCATAAAACAACACAGCATTATTATAATACACTTACATTCTGCATAGTACAGAACACTAAATCTATTTTTAAATTTAACATATCGTTCCAAGAAAAAGACACCCGTGAGCAATAGAAATCCGTTACTAAAATTTAATTCCCCTCCCCCCCCCTACTTTATACTATAAAATATTCTTCGTGTAATTATATATTATCGTTGACTAAAATAGTACTATATCGTATATACTATACTACAACTACTTCTGAAAAAAAAAAAATCGTGAAATTTGAGCATACAAATAGTAGGAGAGAATGTTGAAAGTTTAAACCCCCAAAAGATACATCCTTAGTAATAACGATATATTTATATATATAAACAAATTTAAATTTTCTAGTTTCATTTGGAGTAACTCTAGGGCTATTTGAGGAAAAACCATTAGTGAAATGCATATTTAAAATACAACTCAACTTATTATCACTTTATTACGTCAATAAAACAACTCAAATTCTTGAGTTAGAACTCATATAATACAGGAAAAATCCCATACAAATACACAAAAGTAATGGAGAAAAAAATATATTAACCATATTAACGACAAAGTAGGTTGCAATAAGTCTCATTTCCGTGGAAAATTGGAATAAATTTGTATAATTTTTTTAATGTAATGTAAGTAATACAAATACTTTTGTAAAAATCTAAATAGTGTTAATTCTATAGAATAAAATAAATAAATAATGCATAATGTAATGTGGTGATACTCCGTAATAGCGGCGGTGCAAAGTATTTTTCCTCGAATCACTTATTTCATTTTCCACCTATCCACCTGCCTATCAAAAATACTTTACATCTTACTACACTTTACCTATAAAATATAAAATAAACCTTACCCAGTTGATAGGAGTTACTAACTATAGTTTCCACGAGAGCCCTTTTAAAACTTCAAAACTTTTCACAGACTTAAATATATGTGTAAATGATTGTACCTATACATAAACACTGGCATATCCAGAAAACTTTGTTAAGACCTATTTACGTTTTATTTGTTTATTGTTCTTTAATGAATATTGAATACTATGTATTGTATTGTTATATTTAATTTTAAAAAACCATACGAATTTGTGTCACCATATATTAATTAATATCCAAGCACCCACAACCCATTCACTCATTTTTTTTACATTCGAAGCGTATTGAGGGAACTATTTTTATTTTTTTTTTTTCGTCTGTGAGCAAATTTTTCAACAGAAATCGTCCTCTGATATATCAAGGTAGACATTTTTCTGAAAAAACGTACATAGTTGGGGTATTAGGTAGGTCATTGTTTGATTTTCCAATGGGTTTTTACAATGAATGGGCAAAATCGGAAAAAAAATATCGAAAAAACGGCCATAAAAAAATATTTATGGCACGCGGTTTCATTGTTTTTAATTTTTACTAATTATATATTTTCAATAATAAAGTAAAAACAAAATTATCAAAATGGTTAATACTCGTAAATAAATAAAGTAAATAAGTATATAAATAAAAAATGTATATAATTAAAAAATAAAACAAATAAATGAATTAATGCGTCACCTAGAGTATTACGATAAGTATATTATACGACTGGTTTCGAATTAAAAATTCATCGGGTGTATCACAGTCAAAATATAAAACGCGGTTTACATTTTATATTTTGACTGTGATACACCCGATGAATTTTTAATTCGAAACCAGTCGTATAATATACTTATCGTAATACGCTAGGTGACGCATTGATTCATTTATTTATTTTATTTTTATGTATTCATTTTTTATTTATATATTTTCTATCAGAAATATTGATCCGATAAAAATACTTTTACTGTTGAATTTTTAGTCAAGTTGGTAAATATAAGAAGGTTGTGTTTTGATTTTCTGTGTAGTTTTTTTAATAATCGAGCAAACCGAAAGAAAAATGAGCCGGGCATACTTCGCATGTGGGTGGGCTGTAGATGAGAAGTTGAGAAAGTAAAGAGGAAATTTAATGTAAATCTGTACGCAACAATCAATCATACATATGTCATATTATGGTAAAATAATTACATATACATTATATATTTTCTTTAATAACATTTATTTATTATACTGTTCCTATTTTCCCGTTTTTCCTACGCTTTTTCTGGTTTTTCATATGTTCCTATTTATTATGAAAATTCCTGAGAAAATCAAAAAATTAGCTACCTTAAGTATCTACCCAGTCATATTAAACAGTAGAAAAATTGTTTTCATTGAAGATCGGAGTAAAATTACTGGTAGAAAAGTTGTTCACAGGAAAAAAAAGGGCCGTAATATTTTTAACTAATATACCTACATTTCGTACATTTTCCCGTTTTCTCTCTGTTTTTCAAATTTGATGAGAAAATGTATAAATTACCTCATTAAAATACCTCCCAAGTCAAATTTCCTTTTAGAAAACGTGCTATTATTATGAATCGGAGTGAAATAGCACAACACACAATAAACAAAGTAGGCACAATCACGCAATAATGGCTTCTATGCAATAAAAAGACGACTTAATTACACTCAATTTTTTTTTCACCACTTAGTCAATTTATCATGAACTTTTAGTTAAATTTTCAAGCATTTACATATAAATTGAAAAATTAACGCACTTCTATATAAATGCAACTCAAAATATATCTATAATCATTTTTTGATTGGAGCAAGATTTCTGAGTTCCTCAAAGACAGAAAAAAAAAGCATACATGAAAATTAAATTACATGCTTAAAGTATTATATAATTGTCTTTTAAAAATCATGTTACACATGATTTTGTCGTAAGACTACAAGAAAAACTAAATCGGAACAATTTAAAATAATGAAATTGTTCACGTCGTAAACATGATCGTTTTTCTTTTATGTTTTTTTTCCTAATCGTTATGTAAATTGCTTGAGATATCATAAAATTACCTTCTTACAACTTCTTACCTTCTTACCTTCTTTTGTCAAATAGACAAAATTTGTCTTCAAAAAAATTACTTTTAAAATTTTGGAAATTTAAAATATTGAAATTCATCACGCACTGTAAATATTTGTCTAATTTTCCTATACGTTTTTTTTACGATATTTTCCAACGATAGGAAAGGGTCGATCGGTCGACAATCATAGGATCGACATAGTGACGAAATTTAACGATCGAATTAATTATAATATATCAATAAAACACAAAAATAATAAACTAAATAAACCCATTTAGTTTATTAAATTATTGAATTCGTAATTAAATTAAATATAAAATAGGTCGTATTAAATTTAAAGAAGTATAAAATATGTATAATAAATAGTTAATTAATTAAAAAGTGTATGCTATAAGCTTTTAAAAATTGATCTTTTGACCTAGGTATGTTGCTTGACAATTATGATTGCATACAAGCGCATATACAGAGTGTCCTGCAGTGTTATCCTTATGCTAATAATTCCATCAATATTTATTTTGTTTAAAAAAAAATTTTCATTCAGGTTTTGTGCGAGTGGGACAAATAAGTAAAGTAAAATTAAATTTGTATTTTCAACCCTTAATTGTTGAAAAAAAAATTACTTTTTATTTTATCACTGTTCCAAATAGCCATTTTATAAAATATATTATTTTAAACATACATTCATATCCGATAAATATTTTCTTAGTAATAGTCATTTTCATTTCTATTGGAGTGAAAACAATTATTAATATTCATTAAAATAACACGTTACGTGATAAAGAATTACAATCAGCACGGTAATTTCTTTTTTTCTATTGAATATTAATAAATTGTTTTCACGTCTATTTTTTGTTTATTAAAGCTAGGTACTATAATTAAGAAACTATTAATCGGGTATGAATGTATGATACATTAAAATTTGAAGAATATTATATTTTATAAAATTACCATTTTTAAATTTTAAAAAGTGGAAAATTAAAAAGTTATTTTTTTCAGTGATTTCCTAAGGGATACAAATTTTATTTTTTTCAACATCTGTGCCCCCCTCCCCAAAACTTGTTTGAAAAAAAAATAAATATTGATAGAGCTCTTAACATATAAGGATAACACTGTAGGACATTTTTATAAACGATATAAAGAAGACATACCTACAAGATTAATAAAAATTATGAAATATAAAATATATTATTATTATGTCAGCCCCTTACACTGTCGGCCTTATAGTTGTCTTGCAAATATCGTAATCCCATCCAAAATCGCTTGAGGAAACAAATAATTACGTATTTATCGCATTAACTAGTTTTTAAATGCAACAAAAATGATATGCTTTTAGTTTTTGATTGAGGCAAGATTTCAGAAAGAAAAAGTTGCTCACAGACACAAAAAAAAAAAAAAAGCACACATCATAGTAAAACCAATTAGTGAATGTTCATTACACACCAATGTATCACGACACGCAATTTGAAAACCACTAGAGTCTAAACTATATAACGGGTATATCAAATTTCATGTTGTCTGTTTTTTAATCATATAAATTTAATATATTGTTTAATATTAAATTTAATTAAGAAAAAACGTTTTCTATAAAATATTATTAAACTTCCTAATATTTTATTATTTATATAATTGTGTGTGGTATTGATTGAAATAAAACTGCCAAAATATCTGGGAGATACGTGAATTTTCTCTAGGGGGGGACAACCTCATCTTCAATCTTGGTGTCTTATTTTAGATTCCCTCTCCTTTCCAAAGGTAGAATAGGTACATACCTATATATACCTACTTATTGTTACTATGTATATATATGTTATATTATTTACCAGTTTACAAATATAATAAAATGTATTAGTGTTATATTATTAAGTGTTTTTATTATGTAAATTACATGAACGTACCTGTATAATTTGCCATATCTCCATGCGGGACTACATATTGATCATGAGGGGCTTGTGATATGTCTGAAGTTAAAGGTTGATCGGGATGTTGGATGTCGTAAAGGAATTCCGGTATTATCGGTACTGTAATATAAAAAAACAATGTGTAATTATTAATTATACAGCTATTGTATAGTACCTATGTCCTATATACTCTTAAGAATTATACAATTTAAAAATGTCTATAATATAACTGTGTAATTTTGAATTAATAAGTATTCACTAAAAACAAGTTTAATCTGTTCAGTTTAAGATGGAACTGCATTGCGTGAATTGGAAAACAATTAGGAGGACGCAAAAATGTAAAAAAATAATGTGCATACATTAATATTATATTTCATTAATCGTTAAATACATACATGTTTATAATTTTCATGCAGATCGGAGATATAGGGGAGTGCACGGGAGGAGAGAGTGATACCTACTCCTAAACTTGGAAATTAAGACACCTGAGTCGACAAATCAACTATGAATTAATTCTAAATTCGATAAAACTAATATTTGTTTAGGTTTTTTTTTTGTATTTTATAATATGTTATATCATTATCATCAAATTTAATTATTATCAAAGAACAAAAAAAAAATAGGTAAATAATTTTTTGAAATTGATAAATTTAGTATTTGGAGTCAACAAATTTTTGGATCTGTGTTCATTATGGAAAATTGTTGGGATATGCTAAAATATCTGTATAAAAAAAGAGAAACTCAGTCTCTCTACGGCCCTCCTCAATTAAAGACACAAATATTTAGAGTTATATTTCTAATTGAATCTGTTTTATCATTTTAATAATATATCGTTCAGTTTTGATGCTGTCAGTAATTTAAGACGAAACTGTAGAGTATAGAGTACTCGTAAAATTATTCACATTTCATTTAATAATGTAAATATAAGACTATACGATATTTGAATTAATAATAGGTATAAATAAGATTAATTATTAGGGGTAATAGTAATATTACAAACTAAGGTATGTACATGTTAGTTGGGAGTTTGTTACGAATAGGTAAAATATTATTGTAATATTATACTTGCCTACAGTTGTTAAAAGCATATTATCCAGGAGTAGAGCTATGGCCACAATCACCACAACAAGTTGGCGAGATTCGCGACATCGGTGGAGCCATTCTTCAAACATTCCTCCGGCCGAGATCATAAGCAGCTATACCTACAATTATTATCTAATCATAAATTGTTATTTTTAAATAATTATTTATAAAATAACAATGTAAAGGGCATTTTAGTAACCCTATAACTTCTTTAAAAATATTTTGTCGGTATCCTTATATTTCGTGTATACCTATTATACTGTATTAGTTGCCTCTTACTGATGTAACAAGAAGAGGTACCGTGGACGTATTCTGAACCCTTCACACAGGGAAAATGGTATTATCGACAATAAAGTGAATTCATTCACCCCACAGAAACAGTTCCATAAGCCTACTGAAATTACCCAACTGGACTTTTCACCAATAGAAGCTCCGTGACCCTTGTTCGCTAAAGCCGTAGCATCATATTCACCCCTCTGAGGTTTAGGTTTATTATATTGTATACATATGCGGAATAATGTTTTTTTCTTTAACGAATGTAAATAATTAGCAACTATAATTAGTGAAATAAAATACAAATATGAACAAAATACAGGCTGTCTCACGAAGATATGCCTATTGTAATATTCCTGAGATAATAAAAATAGTTAAATTCTGTTTTGTTTTTTTATTGTTATTACTCGCAAGGATAAGGACTACAAATATTTATATTTGAATTAAATTTGTTCATCTTAAAAAACTAAAAAATAACATTTCATTTTATTACTTACAAAAAATTAGAAAAATATTAAGCCATTTTATAGATTTTATTATTATTATTCTTTTGAAAATTATTACGTATCAACTTTTTATTTTGATTGAATAAATCATGGTTTTTAATAATTTTTTAAAGTTCAGAGAAAAGTACCTATAATTTTGCAGCAGATTTTAAGAAGTGGCGTATTTTCAAATCATTTGTGAGGGGAAAATTTGAAATTTTCCTAAAAGGTGTTCACTAAACTACTATAATGTAATGTTGTTTAATCGTGAAATGTATAGAATATATGAAAATAAATTTATAAATGAAGTTTAAGTGGTACGTTTATTAATATTAATTATATTCAAGTGTCGCCTTTATAAATAATATATAGATGTATAGTACACATACCTGATCAAATTTTGCAGCTCAATCTAATAAAAATTTTCAGAAGAGAATTCCGTTGTCCGCATACTTTAATTAACGGTTACTTTTATCCAAAACCATTAGACTGTCAATAATAAATAATAGTTTTAAATTAAAAACAAAAAAAAAAATTATAAATATTAAATAAGTTAATATCAATACCTATAATAATTCAAAAAATAATATTAGTATCGAAGTATACCTACAAATAATTGCAATACGCCCATCACAACTATGGTTATTACTTTTTTCATACATCTATCTAATTCGTTATAAGGTACCTATTAAATTTTAAAGGAAGTTTAAATATATTATATTTACACTTTTCTACAATATATATATATATAGTTATAGTTCCATTGTAAATCATAAAATATTATCAATTTCTAGCATAAAGTAGTATATTATTATGTGTAGACATGGATAATACACAGTAAATTATGGATACCTACCTATTTGTAAATAACTTTAAAAAATTACTATTTTTAAACTTTTTATTCTCGTCGTTAGCTATAAATACCTATATGGCTCTATTTAAGTTATATACCTAATGCGTGTACAATTTACCATAACGCACATTATATCGTGTTAATAGTCATCGATACTATTGTTTTATACTTTTTTTAAATTTATATGCCGGTAAAAAAGTTAATTACCTATACGTTATCATTAATAATAAAGTTTAGGCCTTTATAGATAAGCCAAGGTTAACGTAGTAAACTTGCTTTAATAAAAATATTATACGCTGTATGGTTTTCAAGAATGTATGACAATTTTCCCCTGGACATTTTATAACGCGAACATTTATCCTCCCTATACACATTACACATTTTTGAAAAATGAATTTGAATATTTTTGTCTTAATGTGTAGTGAAATAAAACAGAATAAATTTCCAAATATTTCCATAAATATAATAACTATAGATGTATAATAACAAGTAATGCTTAAAACAAGTATTATAATGATCACATTATTTTAGAAAAAACCCATTAAAATATTATAGTACCTACTGCACTATGTACCATTGAAATTTTAAATTGTGTCCAAAACCATTTGCTTAGACTATTAAAATATTATTCTCATACATTCTCACAGCATAATTTTAATTGATTAATTTAAAACATTGGGTACTTTTTATTTTATAATAAAAAGTAAGTTCCATTATAGAACATTTTATTGTATTGTAGAGCGAAATCAAAGTAATAAACATATTAGAAATTATTGTTTTAAAATATAACAAATTTAAATTTTAAATCACATTTAACGCTGTCCACAAGCACAGACGGATCTAGGAATTTTAAACGGAGAGAAGGAGGCAGAACTAGATTTAAGAATTTCAAAGGATTATTAATCAAAAATAATATTAAAGAACTATTAGGTAATTATTTTTTGGCGATTTTAGAAAAACCATATTTATCGGAACGGTCATTCCTCGAATTCACGCCTGGTTAAAATGTATTAATAGTAACTACCTATTCATTTTAATAAAATTGATTGTGGTTTATTTATGCAATTTAATACTGTTAAATTTAATTAATCTAAATAATTAAAACTTAAGTTTTAATAAATATCACCAATATTATTTGTATCGATTGGTTAAGAAAAGTAGGAATTAAGTAATTTACTTTTATATATTATATACTATATATAATTACAAGCATGTTTACAAGATCGGGTTAGGGGTTCAATCCCCTCCCCTCCCCAAAATTTTAAAAATGATCCTTCTACTAGTTTTATAGTTCAAAATGTTTAATTCTTTTACTTATAAATCCCTCTCTCACTGAAAATGTTTTTGATGCATGTGCCTGTATTACATATAGGCACATGCCTTTAGTTAATTATATAGGTGTAGACTTGTGGTGAAAATTGCCAATTAGTACCATAGATTATTTGAGAAAAATAGTTTTCGAAAGTCAGGTAATATCTAGTTTTTTTTTTAAGTACCTATTTAAAAAATCTTTGTCAACAATAGCATTTCTATATATATATATAATATAGTACAAGTTACGATAATATATTATACCATGTTATGGACACAATGCAAATTATAAACATCTTCAAACAATAATTATTGGGCATTGTTAAAAGGAATTGTGTTTATAGACAATGTGGTAAAATATATTTGTATTATATTATGTTATACATAGGTGCGTTAAGCAAGTGATTTTTATGAACAAAACGATTACCTACACGTAAAGCTATAAAAATACCATGTAATGAAACCAAAAAATACGTTGTTTTTTTTTCAAATATGTTATCACAATTCCTACCTACAAAAAAATATATATATATTTTATTATATAATTTTAATATATTTGAGATTTTATACAATTTAATTTCAATTCAATAGTATTATTATAGCTGTGCAAATGATATAAGTACATTACAATGAACAGCCTTTGCGAATAAAATATATTATTCTCCTATTGTCATTGCCATACAGATTCCTTTGAAATAAAAAAAAACCTTAAATCGTTTAAACGAAAGCCTTCTTCCGCCCTTATTTCTACTTATAGTAAATTCGCGCGAACGCTTTAATACAAATCAAATCGTCAAGTCGTCCTCTATTATGCCCAACAACTTTACGCCACCTGACACAAAAGGATTTGCAGTATATATAAAAGGTTTCCATTTTACAATTTGTTCGTACCTATACCTAATATGATACGATAAATGTATATATTTTTATTTTCAATTGTACCTATTTTATTCGGCTTATACCAAAACTCAAAATTGTACATATTTGCATTTGTTAGTTTTTAATATTTTTCTCTAATATTATTATTGGTATGTAATAATACTCGACAAATAAATAGGTAGTGAGAAATTGAAAACTGAAAATTCCAAATTAATAAACTTTTCAATATTTATAATGATACAAAAATACTTGCACTGTATCGAAAAACTAATAAAAACTACGTTAATGTGCACATTGTGTATTATTTTACACGGTACAAATAGTAGTACACGCAGTAGACCACGCTTAAAATCAAAATTCCAACATATCAAATACCTCACAAAAAGTTCCTCGTCCTAAATCCAGTTATCACTAAATTCAAATTTGGGAATAAGTATATTATACGCTTGATTATATAATTCTGCTCGTTATGACGTTATACTATCCGTTAACAGCAAAAATTCTGCAAACATACCTACCTAGGACATTAAAGAATTCCAACACTCGAGCATAAACCAAATCTCAATGTATTTCGAAATTATTATTCGTAAAACTTCACAATTCCGCATAAACCCAATCTCAATGTATTTCGAAATTATTATTCGCAAAACTTCACAATTCCGCAAAATACCATAATTTTAAACCCGACTATTACACAAAGCTATGCATTCCGGAAAGCTCACCTAAATTCCTGAAATTGTCTGGGATATAGAAACTTGTAGCTTTTGTCTTACATTGTATGTAAGTGATAATGTAGAAGTCAGCAATTTTAATTAAATATCTTGTGTCTAATATATAAGCTAGTCGCCTTTAATAAAAACAAATCATTGACAAGAAAAAATAAATTAAATACCTTGGCGATTTCTTTCTATTATACAAATGATAGAATATGATTTTGAATTTTCGGGATTTAATACCGAAATTATAAATGGATGCATGTCGCATTAACAATTGGTGTCACTATGTTATTAGATAGGTAGTGAAAATGAATTTATTAATTAGATCTTTATTTATATATTTATTAATTATTTTATTTTATTTGGAGACATTTTATTCTGTTAAAAAATTATGTCAATCTATCAAATAAATATATTAATTACAAAGTATTATGTATATCATGCACGGCGTATTAAAAACAGGGTTATGGTTTTAGTGAAAAGACATGTTAAAATATACGAGTATTTTAAGGAAAATCGATCATTTTTGGCATTCATTGTTTTAATTTGTTGAAAGCATAGGAAATAATACACATTGTTTTAAAAATATAGTTTCGAAATTCCATTTATTAACGAACAACTTTATATTGCACTTTTTTATTTATTACCCAGTGACACAATTAGGGGGGTAGTTATAACCCCCTCTCCAAATTAGACATTCTTTATTTCGAATTCTACGTAATACCATATAGATTTATATAATTTGAATTGCAATTATAGACATTTTTTTGTACATTTAATATTATAGTGTACGTCGTGCACTTCACTTATTTATACATGTATAACAGTAATTCGTTCTTCCAAAAGCCTGTCCAAAAATTTGATTGAAATTTATAACCTACCATGGTTGCACCACTGTTCTAACTTATAATTCATAATTCATTACTTTATGTAAAAAAAATTCCTCAATCATAATATGTAATTATTTCACAATGACTTTCTGAAATATATAACATTCATTATTATACTAATTTAACTTTAGGTACCTACATAATTTATTTCGAGACTTTAATCTCATTATTGAATATGAGTTTTAAATTGTAACTCAAAGTACCTAAATGATATTAAAATAGCACGGAAGCTCAGCAAAAGACAAAATATATGTACTTATAATAGGTACACTATGTTAAAGGTATTAATTTGAAATACGAAGAATTTAGCTCCTTTTAGTATTATTTTTCCATAATATGCAATTATAAAATATAATTGCCAATTTCAAATTTAATAGAAATATATTATACTGTAATAGGCAACTCGACGGTCTTGTGTCCCATCTTAATCGACGATCTACTCCTTTTAGCATGAGACCTGACCCAGTGGTAGTTTTATGGGAGAGGCAACAGATGAATCATCCCTTTCCCTTATGCCATGGCTTTTACAACTTTATTTTAATATTTTACCTATATTGAACAAGGAAAAATTAAGTTACAAAAACATCAATATATTATGAACATGAATTGTCTTTAGTATTGTATTGTATTAATATGATACTCAATACCTCAACTATTGATTTTACTACAAATATTATTTTATTTATTAAACTATACGCGAAATGGATGAATATATTAGGTTAGCTATGTGCTACTGTGGTGGGTAGAAAGTTAAGAAGGTTAAATACATAGAGTTATTTAGTTTATATCTGTGTACAACGATAAATTATTGCTAGCAAAAAAATATTCTGAGCAAAATTTATTTATATTTTTTTAAATGCCTTGAGTTTTATGATTTTCGGCAAAATTTGATCTTAAAACACTTATAAAATAAAAACTATTACTTTACGCAAAATTTTTCTTTTACCAATAAGTACAAATTATGATGAACCTCATGTTAAATTTTTAAGCATCCACTGTTCAATCAAATAATTTTATCCATACAATAAAATATTTTTAAAAAACTCGAAAAAGTAAAATTCTCATAAATAGCTTAAAAATCCCCAGAATGTTTTAAAAATATTACCATGTTTAGAAAAAAATCAATAAAGTTGTTCTATAAATATTTTAGATCCCTATTATTTTTAACCAAATAGAAAAAACAAAAAAATTTCAAATTGAGACTAATAAAACCATTCATTTCATAAACTTTCCCGTTTTTCCTTTCTTTTCTTCCGGTTTTGCTCAATCATTAACTAAACTACATAGAACATCAACGAACTCCTCACTCGCTAATTAGGCAAAATAGTCTCTCAGGAAATAACACTACTCTTAGAATTTGGAATAAAATTTCTTGTATGTAACAAAAATAAAAACAATTTCTACTTAAAATGCTTTTACAATTATCCTTCTAGGTAGTGTTCAATTTTTTTTTTTTTTTTAAAAGAACTTATTGTTGAACCTTTTGTACAATTTTCAACCATTTTTATCTGACCAAAACAATTATTCTACTCACATATATAAAACTAAACAAACTCAAAAAATATCAAATGCCTAGAAATTGCACAAAATTTTACTATGTTGTTCGGTTTTTCTCAATTATTTGGAAAACAACAAAGAAAATCTAAAAGTATCTTTCCTTCAATACATGCGAACTTTTGTTCTCAGAAAATAGCTACACTTGAAAATTGAAGCAAGAAAATTTAGGAAATATATTATCATAAAAAAAAAAATTGATCATAAAATGAATGTTTTAGGATTTATTTAAGATTATTTTGTGGAGGGTTTTAAATACTTCATTACAGTATTAAAGTATATTCAATTTGTACCTACTATATAACAATGAAACCACAATTATTTAATTTCCGAAATACCTTATTATATTATAATTTTCTATACGTAAAAATAAAACATGTGCATAAAACATAAAAAATTATATTTATATTTAAAAAAGTAGGATACATGAAGTTAATCCGTAAGTATTGATAAACCGTTCAAAACGAAATGTGATTTTGAGCAGAATTTGGTTATACATGTTTTGAAATGCTGTAAATTTTACAATTTTCGTTAAAATATAATCTTAAACTTTTATAAAAAAAACTTCATTTCGCTCTACTTTCTTTTTTACCACTAACTACAACTTATAATAAACCTATGATTAAATTTTCTAGCATTTCTGTTTAGTCAAACAATACTCACAATCTAAACCATTTTTTTTTTTTTGTCAGGGAATATATTACTCTTGAAACTTACAACAATTATATTTCTGGTTGAAATGTAATTTAGAACAATTTTTAATTATTATCATGTCATAGGTTTGAACTTTTTATTTAACGTTTTTTTCCGATTTTTCCTTAATTATAATGAAAAATGGTTAGAAAATCAATGATCCAAAATGTAACAATAAAGGTCTCATGTCGTTTTTTGATTTGAACAAGATTTTTGGTAGCAACCATACATCATAAATATTTATAAATAATAAAATCGGTAACGCCGCGGCGCACCGTAATTATATTTTATCCATTTTTCCTAAACAAATTTCCTGATTTTTCCCAATTATTTCAGATTTCAGATCTAGCTGATACAATAAAGATGTTTGACTTTCTAACCAGTTTTTATAACAATTGGGAAAACTTGAAAATGACATAAAATAAAAACAGATAAATTGACGTCGTTAAGATTTCTCAATTATATTCTTGGAATTTTTTATTTTGTTCATAAATTTAAGCGTGCCCTCATACCAAAATATGGTGTCCGGACATGGACAGCCGTGATTGTGGGGAAGTCAGGGGGCTCAGCCCATCCACCCAAAATCGTCCGAAGCCTTCCCTATAAAATTTTTATTTTATATAATATAAGCCAGTCTTAATGTAATATAAATAATATATTAGAACTATTTTAGCACCCAACCAATAAAAATTCGAAATCTTCGCGGCCTATGATGTTTGGGACACGGATACCCCCTGCCCCTCCTAATCCGTTTCCACTTGATTCGGCACTGATAAAACTAAACTAATTAATTAAATTAGTTAGCGATAAAACTATAACACATACACTTTGCATAGACACACAGTTAACGTATCCAACTTGCACAAATTTTAACTGATTATACAGTCACCGCGGCGTAAATATTATATTTATACGAGTGTATTATTAGTATGCACAATTGTTTAAACTAGTGATGAGAAAAATCCGGTTTTTGAAACACTGAATTAGTATTATTTTATGTATATTACTTATAATAGAGTTTTCATAACTACACTTAAATTTTATATAAAAAAAAAAAATTGATTTTTTTTCAATTAGAATATACAGAAATCTACAATGTCAACCACGAAATTCGGATTTAGTAGCCTATATAACATCCGAAATCCCGATTTCGGGATTTTTCGGATTTTCGGACAATCCAGATTTATGTCACATCACTACATAGTTTAAACACCTCCAAGCAAATGTGCCTGAGACAAATATAGAAAATAAATGTAAAAATTAGATAATAAAAAAAAAATATATATATATATATATATACATAATATTATCATATTGTGTTTGCGTAATATTCAGTGTCGCTTGCCGTTTATAATTATATCCGGTATAATAATCGCCCGGAAATTACCTTTATATATATATATATAGCGATCGATTGCCAGCACGATAACTCGTGACATTATGTAAATCAGGTATTGTTTATTTAAATCTCACGCGCTCCGATAAACGCGTCAATTATAAGTGTTTCTCGGATTTTCGAATAAAATCGTATTGCGTACACAATAAAGAAACGAATGAATAATATAAGAAAAAAAAACCGATTCGCGTTGTTTCTGCGATACAATAAAATCATTACGATATCATAATACCGGGTTATGTCATCGGGTCCCGTCAAATTTATGTCAAATTATTAAAATTCGAACCGTAATATTTTTTTTTATTTTTTTTTTTTTTGAGAACTTTAGAAATACGTTCGCCGTCGTACGCATAAAAAACTCGCGCCTTATAATATTTGTTGACTACAGCAAAACCGAAATAAAATGTGTATATATGAAAAAAAAAAAAAAAACTGATGATGACAAATCGTGATGCAAAACCATCAGTTTTTATACGTCACGTTTGGAAAAGTACAAAAAGCATTTGCGAACGGCTCGTATAAAAACATCGATAGGAGTAAAAATATACAAGTATATAATATTCTATATGAACCGAAAACAAATAAAAAAATGCATCCTAAGTCAGGATTCATAACACGCGTTTATACGGTCGTATATGTACATGATGGGCGGACCCATTTTCGCCCGAAGTTGACCTTTTGGTTTCCGCCCCCCCCAAAAAAAAAAAAAATTATCCTTTTTCCACAAATTCAACAAAAAAGAGTTTTGGTTTTCGACCATAGAATTAATATTATTATTGATCATAAACGAAAAAAAATTGTTGATTACCGCTGTCCGTGAGCGCATCTTACAAGTCATAAAAAACAATAAAGTTAATTGGCAAGTAAATAAAGTTTTTCGGGTGTAATAGGCTAACGAAACACTACGATTGTTTAAATGGAAATTATCTTTCAAAAGTTAGTACTTTTCCTTTTAAATTTCGGGCATGCAACTCTTCAAGTCTTAGATTAACAATGAATACCTGCGAATCATACGATATGATGTCCATTTGAGAAATATATAAAATATTAACACCTAATTCACATTAGTTGTATTATCAATAATGCACGTGAAAAACCAAGTGAATGTCTAAAGAACAAAAAATTCGTTAAAATAAATATTGTATGTTATTTATACAGAACGTCTCGCGAAGTCAAACTCGAGAGATATCTCGGAAAACTACAATTAATTTTTTATACTGAACGAAAAATTTCGTACACCTATATTTTTTATTTTAGTTTAAAACAAAGTATCAACTATGGGAGTGTAATACCGAATAGTCCCCCGTAAGTCGTTGTTACATAAATTAATAAACATAAACGTGAATTATTGTGTTAGTGAAGTCGGAAAAATCCCTACACTTTACTGTAGGCGTGATTGGATATTATTATCATCAACGAAGTTCGTACCGAAATGTGATGAAATTTATTTAGGAAAGTGTTACGAAAAATCCGAAAGAATACTACAGAGTATTCAAACAACAGGATATAAATGAATTATGGGTAACACAATAAAAATCATGCGGTATGAGTTTATCCGCGTGCCGTACAAACTCCGACAAAATAAGGGTTTAAAATTATTTTTTTTTATATGTTTTACACTTATATCATTATGGTTACACTTAAAATTACATTTCGTTTGTTTCACCAAAACGTTTGCACTTTCGTTTATGACGATTAATATTTCTGTAATCACGGGTGAAAACCGAAACCCTCTTTGTTCGGTTCGGGCGGGAAAACCGGAAAGTTGATTTCAGGCGTGCGCGCTTTTTTACGCGGGCGAGTGTACACGATGGGGTTTCGGGGGTTCAACCCCTCCCTACCACTCACCCGGAAATCTTATGAAAATTACGATGAAAGTGGATTTCATTCACTAGTGTTTTAAAAGTGGTTTCTGTCAACGAGGAAGACATAAATGCAATTTCGGTTTTATTACTAAAACCTTATTTTATTTCTTAATTTTCTTAAAGGTTCTTATTTTATTACTAGGTAATAGGTATATATATATATTACGTTGTTATTATTTGTCATTTCTAATTTTTTGTGGTTTTCCTGCTTTTAGAAAATTATAACCGATACGGCGATATCGCGTATATCATCACAATCATTTTAATTACGTTATAATTTAGGCTGTATTCGCTAAAAAAAAAAAAAAATAATCCTACAATCGAAAGCATGTGATCTTTTTGGAGTTTGAAAGCGTAGCTACAACCCTAAACCCCCTCCGAAACATTATTCTGTAACCGCATCCGCGAACAATATTTCTGAAAAGCCTCTTTGTTCGGGACGAAAACCGAAAGGTAAATTTTGCCCGTACGTCCGCGTGCACGCGTTATTACGATATGCCGATGTTCCCCTCCCCCTCCGTCCCCCGCAAAAAGAGATTAAATATTTCCCGTGTGATAATGTAGACGTAAATAATAATATTGTGTACGGCGATAATGTCAATCTCGACCGACCCCGGACAGAAATATTATTCGGGAAGAATGCGCGAAAACAATAAAGCGATAAAAAAAAATAAATACCAAAAAAAAAAAAAAAAAAAAAATTCAAATTTAAAATCCCGATACTTACGATCGTTTTTCAACGGTGACGATGGGTTGCCGGCGGACAACGTGCGTCTCTCGCGGAGTCGCACGGCGGTGTAAAGGCGACGGCGGCGGCAGCGGCGGCGGCGTCGGCGGCAGCGGCGGCAGCGGCGGCGACGCGGTGTAACCTGTACGAGTATATAATGGCGTACAGGACACACTCAACCGCCGGGTGCAAAGCCCGGGGACCGTGTGCGTGCGCGTCTGAGATACACTTAAATGTTAAGCGCGCGGACGGTCGTCGAAACGCGAGGCCTGTATAGCGACTTAGCGTGCCCGAGCACTTTGACGCCATCCCCGTCGACCGTGGCGCTCGGCCTAATACGGTGGCGGACGGCCCGTCAACAATCGTACGGCAGCCGTCGTCGTCGGTTTTCCCGGCCGCGTATACATAATACACGATAAAGTACCGTGATGATGCTTTCACGTATACTCGCCCGCCCCCAACCCCCCCGCCCACAACCCACCACCACCCGCTCGACCGGCCGGCGGCTGCGGCGGCGGCGGCGGCGATAAAGCTCCGCGTCCCACGCACCGTCCGTCACGTCCATCACCGCGCGCGTATATAACTTTTCTCCGGGGCGGTAAGCGCTGTGCAGCCCCTTACGACCATTATAATATTATATACGTCCGCCGCCGCCGCCGCCGCGGTCCACCGACCACGACAGGCAGTCTATTTTCATCAAGTTACGTCCGTCCGCAAACCGCGCGCCGCCGCCACCGCACACGTACGCACTATAATAAACCTAATATAATATATAATAATATAACTTGTTGAATAGACAATTAATTAAAAAGTTCCGTTCAAAAGCTACTCGACCGCACTTTCGCCACTATATATATAGTGGCGAAAGTCTATATATATATATACGATACGAACACTACAAAAGTCGGTCTCTCTCTCACTCTCTCTCTCTCCATCTCTCCATCACTCTGTCTCTATTTCTCTATCTTTCTCCGGCCGCGCCTTTTATATTCTGTCCCTTTCCGTATCCACTGCTCCCGCGCGCGTTTACCGGCGCGGCGGCGGCGGCGGTACTCGACAACCATCACATTAATTCCATTCCGCCGTTTTATAAACCACATTATACCCCCGCGCCGTCTCCCCCGTCGGTTTCGTGGACCACCGCGTATATATTGTTATATAGGTATACGCGTAAAATACGCCGGGGGGTGGGGGGGGACCGGGTGAGACGAGACGGACTGCGAACGGAGAAAAGCACTTTGTATAATGCCCCCGCGAAACACTGCTCGCGGCGAAATACGAAGAACCGAAAAAAAGAACAATCGTCACATAATATATTTTTATATACCTTCCCGCTGCAACCGACTGCTAATGTTATTCGACCACTCCCTTTCGGTATTTTTTTTTTTTCCCGTCTTTTTGTTTTTCAGATTTTTTTTTTTCTTCTGTTTTTTTTCCTTTTTGCGAGATTTATTTTTTGTTTTTTTTTTTTTTTTTTTTTTTTTTTTTTTTTTTATTTGTATTCGTAATGGGCCTCGCTCAATAGCTATC